TGACCAGCTGTCGATTGGCTTTACTGGAACATTCATGCTGACGCCGTTTCCGAGGCAATCTCGTTCGATTTTGGTGAAAAGGTGCTAAGCTTTCGTTGGCCATATGACGGACATCATCAGAGCGAGGTATCATCGTCACAACCAAATTTAAGCTAACGAGTCAAGAAAATAAAATGTAGAGTATATATACTAATTTTTAGGGATTTACTGGTTAGTTTTCTCGATTAGTTAGCTTGAATTTTATTGTGACGATGTTACCTCATCATATGACGGAGGAAAGCTTAGCACCTTTTCACCGGAATCGAAGTAGATTGCCTCGGAAACAGCGTCGACATGAATCTTCCAGTAAAGCCAATCGACAGCTGGTCAAGAGGAATCCGCCGTTGTCTTCTGGTGGAACCGACATTCGAGTCTCTTCACCCGACACTTTCACTAGAAATGGAAGTAAGCTCAACAATTATGAAACAAGAGATTTCTCGAAAGCCAACTTTTCTGCTTGACTGTAAGTCTGATGGAGTCGGTGGACGGCTGATTTGCTACTTCGATGTGGACGCTGCTGGGAGTAGATGAACAAAATGCAGAATTTCGTCGGTTTATCGAAGCCTCAAAGGTTAATGTAGTGCTCAAACCGGTAGTCAAAACTGCAAGACAAGCAGCTATCTTGGAAGTTCGGTGGAGCCACTTTTCGACGGCCTTCACACCAAAATTTGCAATCACATGCATTTTGTAAGGTACTCTTTAAAAGTCAACCTTCTTCAAGAGATTCTTTCATATTTCCTCCAGTCCCGACGGACACGACGAGGCAACGGTACAGTGTAACTATGGAAACCTCCAAGATCGGCACACTTTTGACATCGGTTTTGACTACCAGCCTGGCCTGGAGTTGCTTGCCCAAGTTGCCGAGACTTGATTTCATCTGTTTTCACAGATTCCGCATTTTTCGCTCAAAGACGAATAGTATGAAATGTGTTCACCCCATTTCGTTTTTAGGTTGAATGTACCCACATTCATATGAATTGACCTTACTTTTTCTTTGAATGTCACATGGCCCTGCTTTCCCACAAGGTGTTGTCATCTCGGCTGGAAATGACTGCATCAACTCATTTCATCCATACTTTCCAGTTGGACTCGAACCATGGGACAGATGTGAATTTCAAGGAAGGCCAGGAATTGACAAGACTTAGGCGAGGTCGAATGGGGAGTCGACTCGTGCCGCGATGTGAATTTCTTTCGGCAGGCCAGGCTATGTGAAATCGAATGGAAACACAAGGTCTACTCATTTGCTTGTGGAAAATTTCATTCAAGCCTCCTTCATCACTTTAAAATGAAATAGTGGCAACACATCGCATATATGCCCTATCTACAGTTAATCGCAAAACACTACTTACAAACGCAAAATAAGTAGTGTAGTCGAGTAAAAGTTGTTTGATCTTGTTTTCACAGCTTTGCCATGTTGCAAGGGAGATGTAGACGAACGCACCGTGTCTGTATTCCTGATAATGTCCAGAGTCGGACCGTGGATTTGGTACATTACTGGACGTTTCTTTGACATGCTGGCAAGGCGCGCTGACGACG